TTAAGGATAATTACTTACATGTGAAAGTCTTTTGGCCATAAAATCCTTTAATTGTCGATAACAAAATCCAAATAAAAGAAGACATTTATGTCAAAAGAAAATTTGGAGATGAGGAAAAACGAAAAAAAAAAGTAAGGAGCTGAATTCATTTTAGGTGGAACATCGCGACCATAGTTATTAACAATTGAAAATTGTACTCACAACAAACTAATTTTCATGGCTGATAAAAAAATGGAGACTACTAGGGTTCGAGAGAAGGATGCGGCGGCCAAAGAGGACAGCGACTTTTGACGGCGGCAAGGGCTCAGGAGGTGGATACCAGGGTTCAGTAATCAGTTGTCAGGACATGCTCGAACGTTCTTTTTCTACAATTTTCCTGAGAATTTGAGGGCAAAGGATCTGTGGTATGGTTTTCAAGGGTATGGAAAGGTTGTTGATGTATTTGTGCCGAACAAGAGAGATAAATGGGGGAAAAGATTTGGTTTTGTTCGTATGGTAGGGGTGTTGAATGAGTACATAATGGAGAAGAGGCTTAATGAGATTTGGTTTGGGTTTTATAAGTTACGGGTGAGGATCGCTGATCGCCCAGTGAAGCAGAGTTTGGGGCAAGCAAAGATGACAAGGAGCAACGCGAATAGATTGGTTCAACCTGGGCAGTCGTATGCACAGGCAGTTGTGGGGACCAATCAGAGGTATGTCAAGAAACAGGATAACGAAAAGGGAGTGCCTGAAAAGGAGAAAGGTAAGGTTCAGGTGGAGATGGTCCCAGTGCAGTCAGTACAGCTTGAAAAGAATGAGCAGGTTGGCTCAAGTGATACGTTGCAGGGGCAGACGGGGACGACGGGGAGTGTAGGGGATCAAGCTCAAGCGGCAACCATTGATTTCTCTCCGACGGAGGAGGAGATACATTGGCTGGAGGGGGGTATGGTGGCAGTATTAAAGTCATTAAGGTCAATTACGAGCATACAGGATACTGTTGATGTGGATGGAGGGTTGATTTCAGTAACACCATTAGGGGGCAGATCAGTGTTGTTAACTGAAAAAGTGAAAGGTCACCTGGGTGAGTTCATGGAGCAGAATAAAGAATTGTTCAACACATGGTTTGAATCCATAAGGCCATGGGCAATGGCATCTTCGCTGCGAAGTAGACTAGTTTGGTTGCGAGTTTCAGGCGTCCCGTTGAAAGTGTGGTGTGATAGGTGTTTTTCGTTGATCGGAGGAACAGTGGGTGACGTGGTGATGGTGCATGATGATACCAGAAATAGATTTTTTCTGTGTGAAGGAAGGGTTTTAGTTCTTTGTAGTGATGAATTCAAAATTGCTAAGACTGTACAATTGAAGATCGAGGGCCAGTCATATGAGGTGGGGGTTGTGGAGGAAGAATGGAGGTCAGATCCCGACTGGTGGGTATCAGACGGTGAGCGGCGGAGCTATTCAGGAGCTTCATCGGAATATTCCTCACAAAACGGTGACGAAGATCCGGAAATTAGTATTGACGCGATTAGCGCCGAGGATGATGATAGCATTGATTTGGAGCCGTTTCAGAAGGAGGGAGTTTTGAATTCAGATAATGAGGAAATAATGGGTCATGAGGAAGCTGGCATGAGTGGCGGGATTGAGCAATATGAGAGGATAGAAGACTTGCATGGGCTGGTAAAGGATAATGGGTTGATAGATGTTATTGGGCCGGGTTGTAAAAGCATAAGGACCAAAGACATAGTTCTAGAAGGGTCCGCACGTGATAAGGATGGTAAAGAGGGGATGGGTAAAAGGATGAGACAAATTGCAGATTGCTATCCACAAGAGGGGAGAGAAAATCGGGAAGATCAAGCTGGTTGGGTGACTGGGCAGACGAAGCAGAGGCGTGCGAGGAGGGTGAAGGCACAACAATTGCAAGTAGAATCGGGAAGGATGCAGCAGATGCCAGCAGAATCGGGAAGGAATCAGCAAGAAGGAAGAAGTGCCTCGATCTCAGATGGGTGTATTGCTCATCGGAACCGTGTGATTCAACAGGATCTAAGTTTGCAAGAGGTAAGAAGATTGATTACAGCTGGGTGACGGTTGGGCATGCAGTTCCAAGGAAGTGAAGAGGAGGTGGAATCTCGGTTTTTAGAGCTGGAGCAGAGGGATGAGGTTCGGGGGAGAAATAGCTAAGCTACGGGTCTGCTGGGAGGTAGTTGGCTGTGGGTTGTTGTTGAAATGAAATTTGTTTCCTTTAATGTCAGAGGGTTGGGGGGTTCGGTGAAGAGGAGGGAACTGGGTAACTTAGTAAGGGTGGAGAAACCAGATTTTTTATTTGTACAGGAGACCAAATTAGAAGAGGTAGAGGAAGGATTGTGTAAAATGTTGTGGTATTCCGATGAGTTTAGGTGGAGTATGAAGAGCTCGGTTGGAGCATCTGGAGGGTTGTTGTGTGTGTGGAACAGGACAGTTTTTGTCAAATTGGAGGAATTTACAGGGGATTGGTATTTGGGTATAAAAGGGGTTTGGGGGTCAAAAGAGGAGCCGTGTGTTTTTGTGAACGTATATGCTCCGAGTGATAGAAGGAGCAAGGCTGCGTTATGGGATGAGCTGAGCCAGAAAATTACAGAAGAGGGTGGGAGATGGTTGTTGGCAGGGGACTATAATGTTGTCCGGTGTCTTGAAGAAAAACGGGGAAGGACAGGAATGAGTGTAGATATGTCGGAGTTTGATGCTTTCATTGAGACAACAAGATTGGTTGATATTAAGTTGGCCAATCGAAAGTTTACATGGTATAGACCGGATGGTACATCCATGAGCAGATTGGATAGGATACTGATGACTGTGGAGATGTGCAGTATGGGTGAGGAATGGGTGCAGAAGGGGTTGGGGAGGAATATATCCGATCACTGTGCTATTATTTTGAAAACAAGAGTAGCAGATTGGGGGCCTAAACCGTTTCGGGTGTTGGACGTTTGGCAGCAACATCCAGAATTTAAGAAAGTAGTTGAAGGCAAATGGAAGGAGATGGTGGTTGATGGGTTTGCAGGTTATAGATGCTTACAGAAATTAAAGATGCTGAAGAAATTTTTGAAAGGGTGGAATAAGGAAGTGTTTGGGGATATAGAAGTTCAATTTCAAGCTGCTATGGATAAGGTTGCGCAGATGGATATGAGGAATGAAGAGGCTGATTTAGAAGGGGGTGAGTTGGCTGAAAGACAAGAAGGCTTTAATGAAATGTGGGAAATTATGAAGAAAAGGGAGATTTTATGGAAGCAGAAATCAAGATGTAGCTAGGCAAAACTAGGGGATGCTAATACGAGGTTTTTTCACAAAGTTGCAAATGGTAGAAAGGTGCATAATAACATTAATGGTTTTGCATGTGAAGGCAAGTGGGTGGAGGAGCCAAAGGAGGTGAAGAAAGAGGTGGTCCGGTACTTTAGTAAGATGTTTTCCGGAGAATCATGGCAACGTCCCAAGCCTGTTGGAATCAATTTTAATCAGATCTCGGAAGAGAAGAAGGCGGAATTAGAAAGGCCTTTTTCTGTAGAGGAGATTGAGGAAGGATTGAAGAGCTGTGAGGGAACTAAAGCACCTGGACCGGATGGATTCAATTTTAATTTTCTCAAATGTGTGTGGAGCTGTTTGAAGGAGGATTTTATGAGCTTTTTTGAGGAATTTCACCAGAATGGCAGGTTAGTAAGAGGATTAAATTCTTCTTTCATATCTTTAATCGCTAAGAAGTTGAATCCTTTAGAATTAAAGGATTTTAGACCTATTAGTTTGATTGGATGTCTGTATAAGTTATTGGCTAAGGTGTTGGCTAATAGGCTAAAGGGCGTAATGTCGGGGTTAATTAGTGACACGCAATCTGCCTTTTTGGGGGGACGTCAATTGGTTGATAGTGTTCTAGTGTTAAATGAGGTGGTCGATGAGGTTAAATTGAAGAAATAGAAGGCCTTCGTTTTTAAGGCTGATTTTGAAAAGGCTTATGACTGTGTAGATTGGGCATACTTGGATTGGATGCTATGCAGGATGGGTTTTGGAATGAAATGGCGCGGGTGGATTAGAGAATGTCTTTCAACCGCAAGGATTTCGGTATTAGTTAATGGGAGTCCGACGGAGGAGTTTGTGATGGGAAGAGGTTTAAGGCAAGGTGATCCGTTATCACCGTTCCTTTTTTTGATAGTTGCTGAGGGGTTAAATGGGTTAGTTAGGAGAGCTGAAACTGAAGGAATGTTACATGGCCCAGCAGTGGGTAATAAGGGGTTAACTGTTTCTTTGCTTCAATTTGCTGATGATACGGTGATTTTGGGGAATGCTGACAGTGAAAATATATTTGCGGTGAAGACCATTTTAAGATGTTTCGAGTTGATGTTTGGATTAAGGATTAATTTTTCCAAGAGTAGTGTGGTTGGGTATAATGTGTCAGAAAGTTGGATTAAAGGGGCAGCAAGTGTCTTACATTGTGGTGTGGGGGAAGCTTCTTTTATGTACTTGGGGTTGCCGGTTGGTGGGAAGATTAGGTGTAAGAAGATGTGGGAACCGGTTCTGAAAAAATTTCGAGCCAAGCTTGCCATCTGGAAGTCTTCCACGTTGTCCTTTGGTGGCCGCATCACACTACTCAACTCGGTACTCTCTGCTATCCCTATCTTTTATATGTCTTTATTTTTAATGCCGAATTGTGTGGTTTCGGAGTTGATTAGTATTCAACGGGCTTTCTTGTGGGGGGGGGGGTGGAGTTAAAGCGGCGAATTCCTTGGGTTAAATGGGAGTATATTTGTTGCAGTAAGAGGAAGGGGGGCTTCGGAGTGTTAGATTTACGTAGGAAAAACTGGGCGTTATTAGGAAAATGGTGGTTCAAATTAGGGGATGGGGTGGAGGGTTTGTGGAAGAAGGTGGTGTGGGAGAAATATTACGAGGGAAGGGAAGAAGTAGATATTAAGGCTTTGGAGAGTGTGAGGGTATCTCGAATTTGGAGGGATATTATCAGTATAGGTAATCGATCTGGAAGGTTACAGGATATGTTGGTCAAGGGGTTCAAATGGGGGGTAGGGGAGGGTTGTCGAGTGGGGTTCTGGAGGTCGGTGTGGGTGGGGGAGAAAGCTTTGCGGGATTTGTGTCCTAGATTATTTCAGTTGGCTGTAAATAAGGAGGGATTAGTAAGTGAGATGGGGGGTTGGGAGGCGGGTAGTTGGAGGTGGAATATAATTTGGAGGAGAGGGAGGTTTGGAAGGGAGAAGGATGAGGAGGTGATGTTGTGGGAGGTGTTGAGTACAGTTGGTCTTAAGGTGGGAGTTGAAGATTGCTGGCAGTGGATTCATGTTTCAGAGGGGAAGTACGTGGTGAAACAAGCTTATGAGTTTTTGGAAGGCATAAATATGACATAAGGACCCAAACTTATACAAAATTCGCAATGTTGGACCCAAACTTCAATTGCACTCAATTAAGGTCCCGAACTCCACGGAATTCTCAAATAAGGTCCCAATTGGACGGAAAACTAACTTCCGTCAAATCTAACAAACGCCGTTAATGACTTCTTGACGCAGTTCGTCATCGGCTTCCGTGGTGGCGTTGGACCTGCAGGTCCTGCACGCCTTTGCATGTTTTTTTTCCTTTACTTCATTTGTTTTTAGTAATAATATTTTTTATTAATTAATTATTTTTTAAATTAATGAATTAATATTATATAATATACATATCTTCAATTATTTTTAATA